GTATCAAGAAAACAATTTCATTTTTTCTCGCCCTGTCTCTCTCTAACACACACGTAGCATAGGCGGCTTTGCTTAGAGTAAAACATTAGCGCCTAGATCTCAGAGACTATAAAAGCTAGAGCAACCAAATTTGGTATCCACACTCCTAATATATCGGACCGAGACGAGTTTGTTTCAAAATTTCGCCACACCCCCTTACGCCACCGCAAAGAATGCAAATCTGGGGATATTCACAAATCTCAGAGACTATTAAAGCTAGAGTAACCAAATTTGGTATCCGCACTTCTGTTAGATCTCACTATAAAACGTATATCTTAAAATTTCGCCCCACCCCCTTCCGCCCCCACAAAGGACGAAAATCTGTTGCATCCACAATATTGCAGATTCGAGAAAACTAAAAACGCAGAATCATAGATAGCGACCATATCTATCAGATTGCTGAATCTGGATCAGATCAGATCATTTTTATAGCGAAAGGAAACAAATCAATTTGCAGTGGCTACGCAGCGCGTGACGTCACGCTCAGACTGATTTTCTGTCTCTCTCGCACGCACTCTTTGTCGTGTCGTTAAATATTAGCGGCGTCTGCCGGAGGAGAGCCATACTGACTTAGTATCGGGTATAACTGTAGAGTTGCGGTGTCCGCAGCAACTCACAACGTTCCCCCTCGTTTTTGTTTAGTATAGATGAGTGACCTATGTTCTGGGGTACCCATTGGTCAGAGTCCCTAAGACGTATTGCTGCCATTTCTGCCCGCTCCTTTCCTGCAAAGTCAAGGCTCTGAAGGCATAACATGGCGTTTAGCGCATCATTTGGTGTAGTTCGAAGAGCTCCACTGATGCAGAGGGCGGCTGTTCGCTGAACCTTGCCCAGCTGATTGGTGATTGTCCTTTTCGCTAGGGCAGGCCACCAGACAGTAACTCCGTAGAGTATTATACGTCTGACTATTGCCAGATATATCCATCGGACTATGCTTGGGTTCATGCCCCACTTTAGGCCGATAGCTTTTTTGCAAGTATAGAGTGCTGTCGTTGCCTTCCTCACTCTATCCTTGACATTCAGGTTCCAGCTGAGCTTTTTGTCAATTACCAACCCTAAGTAACTGGCACTGTCGCTGAAGGAGAGCCTGTATCCGTTTAGTGTTGGGGGGTTGAGGGGCGGGACCTTGTATTTTTTTGTGAATAACACGAGTTCCGTTTTCGAGGGATTTAGTCCCAATCCGCGCGATTCTGTCCATTGGGACAACCGAGCAAGCTTTGCAGTCATTAGGTCGCATAGTGTTTGGGGGTATTTCCCCGCAAAGATAATTGCAACGTCATCCGCGTATGCCACTACTTTACAGCCCCCCTCTTCCAGGTCGCAAAGAATCTTATTGACTGCAATGTTCCATAGAAGAGGAGACAGAACTCCCCCTTGCGGGGTTCCTCTGTTGACATACCTTGACTGGGTGGACGATCCCATCGATGATGTCACCGTCCTGCGTATGAGCAATTGATCAATGAGCATCACCAAGTGACGGTCCACCCCCAGGTCAGTCAGGGCTTCTGTAATGGCGCCCGGTGTGACGTTATTGAAGGCTCCCTCGATATCGAGAAAAGCTATTAGTGAGTATTCTTTGAGATGCAGGGATTTTTCTACACTCGAGATCACTTCGTGAAGTGCCGTTTCTGTGGATTTTCCTTTCCGGTAGGCATGCTGCGCACTTGAGTACAGCTGGGGACTTATGGTAGTACGTAATTGTAGCCCGATAAGTCTCTCAAAGGTTTTGAGTAGGAAAGACGATAAACTGATTGGTCTAAAGTCTTTTGGGGTTGAGTGTGAGGCTTTGCCTGCTTTAGGGATGAAAACTATCCTAGCCTTAAGCCACGCTTGCGGTATTGTACATACCGCCAGTATCTTCCTGAAGATACTATGTAGCCAGTTGATGGCCGTCTCACCGGCCCTCTGAAGCTGGGCCGGGATTACCTGGTCCGGGCCTGGCGATTTAAACGGGTTGAAGCTCTTTACTGCCCAACTTATGTTCCGTTTTGTAAGGATATGGTCCATCGATACTACCGATCCCTCTCTTGGGAGGTATGACGGCTCGGTGGATGTGCATCCGGGGAAGTGCGTGTCGAGCAAAATGTGCAGGGACTCCTCACTAGAGTTGGTCCACGTGCCATCATTCTTTTTGAGGTACCCTACCGAGGGGGGTGGTTTTTGAGAGAACTTTCCGGAGTCTTGCGGCCTCCGAGGTTTCCTCGATTTCGGAGCAAAATTTTTGCCAGGAGGCTCTTTTAGCCTTCCTCGTTTCCTTTTTGTATAGTGCTAGACTGGTTTATAGTCTGCCCAGTGAGTATCCTCCTTATTTCTTGTGGCTCTGTTGAATAGAGTCCTGCAAGTTCTACGAAGGGTGTCTAGTTGCTTAGACCACCAGGGGGGTTTCTTTTTTCCCCTTGGTCTGGTAGAAGGACATGCTGCCTTGAAGGCTTTGTTGCACGCATCCGTAAACCTGTACACAAGACGGTTTAGGTTGTCTTCAGTGTTCGGGCAGTTAGGGGCGTTAGGAGGGAGTAGCTCCTCCAGCGTTGTGCTATATTTTTCCCAGTTGGCTTTTCTGGGGTTGATATAGTCGGTTGGTTTGGGAATATCGAAGGATAATATCGTCTCGATATACCTGTGGTCCGAGAAGGAGTGGTCTCCTAGGACTCTCCAGCTCTTGATTGTGTCCAGCTGTTTGCTTGACACTAGCGTGAGGTCAATGACCTCCTGCCGATTTTTAATTATAAATGTGGGGTCATTACCCCGATTGCATATGAATAAATTTGAGTTCAGGATGAAGCTGAACAGTGACTCACCCCTTACATTCGTGTCCGTACTCCCCCATTGGGTGTGGTGGGCGTTGGCATCGCAACCTATAAGTAGGTCTTTGTCCGTCCTTTCGCTGTCGCTGGCTATTTTGCGAACAAGGTCGTTCGGAGGATCATCCTCCTCGTGGGCCATATAGGATGCCACCAGCCTGAGATGATGACCTCTTAGTTCTAGGCTTGCCGCCGTGTTATCTCCATCGCTATAATTGTGGAGCAGAAAGATATTTAGGTGCTTTCTAGCAAGTATGCAGGTACGGATTTTACCTTCATTTTGGGATACAATGATCTTGTATTCCCTCGTCCCCAATCCACAGACCTTGCCTCCTACCACCCAAGGCTCCTGGATCAGGACTACGTCGGCTCCGCTTGCGTCTAGGCGGAGTATGAGAGCAGCCGATGCTGCTTTACAGTGGTGGAGATTTATTTGAAGGATCCTTAGGACCATCTTCAAGATTCTCCACCACCGTGATGTCCGCGTCCGAGTCATCTGAGACTCTCTCTCGGCACATTGACTCGAAGTCGAGCATCAGTTCTGTTTCTGAGGAGAAGCCTTCCTGGTCTGGCTCCAGCTCGTCGTCAGGCGCTTCGATCTCCGCAACGACATCCTGCACGTCTGGGTTGACGACAGGAAGCGCCGCGGCCGCCGCGTCCGATTTGGACACCTTGATGGTGACCGAGCTGAAGCCGAAGTTTAGCTCTCCTTTTGCTGCCTCTATCGGGGCCAGCGACTCTTTATTGAGAACGAGAACTGCCTGGTTAGTCGGCCCTTGTGTCGTCTCAACTTTGGCTACCTTCCAATCGGAGGTTGGTAGTCCTGGGTTGCACCTCTGCAACATCTTGAGGATGCGTTCTGGCTCCTTAAAGGTAGCCGGAACCCAAATTCTGGCCCTCGGTCTGCTGGGCACCTCGCTCCAGTCGACTGCGACGAGTTTCGCCCCAGCATAAACCTCGCCGACCTGCGCTACCGCCGCTTTGTACAGCTTCACAGAGCGCTCGTCTTCGCAGGCAATTATCTTTACATTGCCCTGGAACCACCCCATGTCCTTGCAGACTGGCGGAGGTCCAGGGTCTTTGTCGAGGAGTTCGAAGCAGCGGTCGGCCAATGCCGCTTCCACCCACTTCCACTGACTCCTTGGGATTCTCCCCTCTGCGCTGCCTTTGTCGAGGACACCAATTAGCGTCCTCTCCTTGGCAATCTGCGCAAAGGAGACATTTGGCAGCACTCTGGAGCGCTTTGCTACCGGTCCCGGTGTCTCCTGCGAGCGCTGCCTCTTGGCTTGGGGAGCCACCTTTTTCTGTTCTAAGGTGAACTCCGGAAGTACGGCCGAAGCCCATTCCACCTTCTTCAGCCATTCGGCTGATGGGCTGGCTTCACTGCTGGCGTGTTGCCGACGGAGTATGTGCCCTGCACTCCTCTTTTCGGCATATGAGTATCGTCTGGCTTGGGCACTTGTCGACGGCAAGTCAACCCCCTCCGGTTTACCAGAAGGTCGGGCAGCCGCAATATTGCTTAGCTTCCCTTCCAAGGTGTCAGCTTCCGGATGGGACCCCCTCGGGTTCGCACAGGCACCTTCCACCTTGTAGGTATTCCCCACTATAGAGCCAGTTGGGCCAGGCCTTTGAGCCGCTGCCTTTCCGAGCTTGGGATTGCTCCCAGTTGGCATTTGGGGAGCGCCGCACTCATTTGTTTTTTTGTTGGTTTTTTTGTTTTTATTGTTATACATCTTGTTCCCACGAGATGCAGAGAAAGATCCACGTTGCCCGGGTAAGGCATCATTAGAACAGGGGGCTGCCAAGTCCCTGAGCCCTCCGTTAGAGACTGGGCTATTTTTTATACCGGGCCCCCAGCCAGGCTGACTCTCGGCACGGGTCGAGTAACACACTTAGTCCGGCCCGGTGTGAGGTGGATGTGGGGGTTGGGATGTGGGTAGGTATTGTGTATGGATGGGAGTGTGTGAGCTACTTATTGAGGCGGCACCACAAGCGCATCGTCAGTGTTGCTGCTTCGCGAACAGTATCCGCACTCCTGTTAGATCTCACTATAAAACGTATATCTGAAAATTTCGCCCCACCCCCTTCCGCCCACACACAGGCAATCAGAATTGTTGAATAAAGCACGCACACATACTGTAAAGCCAGGAATGAGATTTCGACTACTATGGACAGCAGTGAGGGTGAGGTCGGCGGGTCCTCGGGTGGTGGCGTCTCCGATCTTCGTGAGCGACTGCATAACATACTGGTGTGCGTTGTGTGCCGCGAGGTTCCACAACCACACGACTTCTATCAGTGCAGCCATGGGCATATCATGTGTGAGGACTGCAAGACCGCCGTTCTGGCTGTTGCCATCTTCAATAAAACGCGTGCCTGCTGCCCAAGTTGTCGATCGCTCATTAGAAACTACGATCAGGAGCAGAATCTAGTGGTGCGCCAGACCCTCTGGGAGCTACCCATCAGCTGCCCCAGCTGCAATGACCAGTTCTCAGATAGGAAAGATCTCTCCAGACACTTGGAGTTCGTTTGTGAGGGGCGTGTGGGTTGCTGGAAGTACCACTGCGTGGGCTGTTCTTGGAAGGGCTCCTACAAGGACAGAAGCAGGGTTTCTGGGTTTCCCCAGAAGCAGGGAAAGGAGATCCTAGATATTCTGCTGCATGTCGAAGACAGGGAGCTTGAGGCCCAAAAGCCCGTGTTGCAGCTCCATCGGGTGCTGAGTGCTAGCCGGGTGGAATTTTTCACCTTGAGAATGAAGTGGATACACCGCTCAGAGGGTTTACACCCACGGACCCTCGAGTCTGAGGTAAGGTTTTGGAGAACCAGAACTCGTCTGCAGCATACCTCTGATGATCTCTTATCCCGATCCCCACAGACGATTCGTGCCTTTGAGGAGGATTGGGTGCTGCGTCTACGTCTGAAAAGAGCTGGGGAAAAAATCACCGTCAGCGGCCAGCTATTGCTTTCGACTACCCCACGAGTGTCCCTCATGGTTGACCATTTGATCCAGATGCCGCAGAGTGTCTGCAGCGCCAAGCAGCTGCACGACATACGTCCGCGTATCTACCGCCATATTTTCGATTCAACCGGCAAGTGCGCAAACCGCCAGGAGCTTCCCTTGGCGGGACCTCAGGCCCTGTACCGGCTATTTGCCATGACCCGGATCCAGCTCCGTTTGTGGATGTTTTTGCATTATTGAGCTGACGCTAAAAACCTTTAAATTGTGGTTTAAACCTTTATTGGGCACATCTTTTGATTTGATTTTTAAATTCGTTGCTTTAGAGCTGAATTTTTAGGGTTTGGGCGCCTTCTGGATCTGCTCGTTCACAGCAAGACCTTCTTCAGCAGCAGCCTTGGCCTTATCATGGAAGTCGTGCAGAAGCAATCGAGTAAATTAGGCATACGTTTTTGTCTGGTCTGTTAAGGTCGGCTAGTGTCGGCTAGACTTACCTTAACGCTATCCTCGATGAAAAATTCCTTGACCTTTGCCAGCAGGCCGTTGAGCTGAGCCTCAACTGGCTTGGTGGGCTCCTCACGAGGCACGCGAGCACACATGCACACCTGAAAGCAGAGTTACAGTAAAACCACAATGAGTCAAAGCAATCTTGGCTATTTTTGGTTTTTAGTTTGTTTCACTGGTCCTGCTCTTTACTGAAGAACGTTGACTTGAGTACTCATAGCGACAGCTCGTTTTGCGTCGCAGCCGAGATGAAACCGAGAGCCGGGCTTATTACCGGCGCCACTATCAAGGTCAAGTGCTTAGAAGCGTACGTCCCGGTCCGCTCAGATAAGAGAGTGGAGTGAAGTAGAGTGCTAAAAGTAGAGTTATAGACTATGTAGCATACTATGTGGGCATGGAGGACATTTTACTACCCATTTAGAGCTCTGGCAAATGGTCGAGATAAGAATTTATATAAAAAAAAATCGCGTACGAGTAGGAAAAGGATACTAGGAAACGGGATACAGGGGGTCAAAGGGACAGATCAGCATGGATACGTAAACGAAGAAGATCACCGGTCAGATCTTTGTCGGCTGCGGTATAGCTCATTGGCGAGAACGCCCACCCTACCATGATCCTTCAGGGCCACCTATTAACAGTCAGGATCCCTTCAAATAAGCCTGCTATTCGATATTGTCTTACATTTATAGGGTATTCCTATACAGCATATACTGGGGAAGGAATATCATAAGGGCGAGGTAGGGTATAATGATCTTAAATCTATAAAACTGATTAGTAGTAGGTATATATAAATGCACGAGCATGTATAAAACCGTGATTATGGTTGAAGACCAACGAATAGTTACCGCACATTCATTCTTTTCAGATCGGGGTTAAATCGGTGGTACTGGCACGTGTCCGGGAATAACCAATCCGTAACTTCTAGACCAGCGTTGTAATACGTAGATACTAGTGGTGCTAATCCTACGCGGAAAAAACAGGAATTTTTCAACGGGTCTCTGTAGCTGGGTGGATAATTACCTCAACAGAATTACACCACTGATCGAAAAATTTTACTGAACTGTGGGCGTTCGTTTTCCAAATGGTCGAACGGCTGCCCCAGTATTGACGATATATAACTGGCGCGTCCACTCAAATTAAATGATCACTTTGAGCCGCACTTGGCACTTGCACTAGGCTTTGACTTTGGCTTGACCTTGGTTTAGAGAACTGGGTCAGCTCTACAAGAATTCTTTTTCCACGGCCGGTCACTCTGACGGTCACGAGGAGAGAAATAAAGAGGCCCAGCCTACTAAAAACAGCAACCCACGTTTTTCCACACTTTCTATGGTCTTCTTCTGTTATACAGGATCCAGACACAGCAATATTTAATCAAATATAGTGCACGGCAGAAAAATTGCATATCAAAGCGTTGCCGCTTGGTCGCAAAACAGCTGTTGATAAGCTTTATCAAAGCTCACAAGATCTTCAACTCGAATTTTTTTACGGCCTAGTTTTAGGCTGTAATTTTGGGAGTTAGCCGTGGATAATTAAAATACAAGAAGACACGATAAGCGTCGAATATTACACCCCCCGCTGAAATCACAGTTTGGGGTCTTGCTAACCAAAGCGTGATCCACACTTGGAGTGCTGGATACGATTTATTGTTTAATATCATTTGCGTGATATTTACCAATAAAGCGACCCTGGAAATCTTTTCTTAATGCGGGCTTTCCGAAACGTAGGTGCCAGTTTCGCATCAATGCCTTTCACAAAACTACTCTGGTCAAAATTTCGTCTATACACTTCTTGACCCACTTGAAAGTTTACTTCTCGGCTTCGAAGATTATAGATATTTTCATTGCGAACATGCTGCTGTTTCATTGCTTCTGCAGCGGTCTTGCGAATTAGCTCGAAGGAATCGTCGCGATCGAAGACTACTGTTCGGTTCTCCAACATACTGAGGTTTCGTAGGAGTTGATTAGTGGAACCGCCAGTAATCATGTTTTGGCCAAAAGCAACCGGATATGGGCAACTTTTGATGGCTGCATGCACACTGGATTGATCGGGCTTAATGTACGCTTTGATAGCAGCGAGTACCGAGCGATTTACCCGCTCTGAGGTATTGGTTTGGGGAGCGTAGGCGGCGGTGTACGAATGTCGAATTTGGTATTTCGCTAACAGATCCTTGAACTTGTGTGACTTGAATTGAACGCCGTTATCTGACACTATCACTTCCGGGACTCCAAAGCACTGAAACAGGTCTTCCTCCATGAACCGAGTTACGGCATCCGCAGTAAATTTCTTTACCACTTTTAGGAAAGGAAATTTAGAAAAATGATCGAGTACTACAAAAATGCCTATATTCCCGGATCGACTTCGGGGGTACGGACCTAGAAAATCGACGTAAAGTTTTTGAAATAGACGAAAGGTCTCCCCTGCTTTGCCCATTGGCGGACGTAGAGGATGATTGGGGTGCTCGGTCGTTCCTATTCGAGGAAGTCGGTCAGCTGTACTCTTCGTCGCCCAAAAAAAGCATAACATCTAATTCGTTAATTTCCTTCCTGTTTTGCTACTCAAAAAAAATTCGCTTCAGCAGCGATCAAATACAAAACGAGGGGGAACGTTGTGAGTTGCTGCGGACACCGCAACTCTAGAGTTATACCCGATACTAAGTCAGTATGGCTCTCCTCCGGCAGACGCCGCTAATATTTAACGACACGACAAAGAGTGCGTGCGAGAGAGACAGAAAATCAGTCTGAGCGTGACGTCGGGCGCTGCGTAGCCACTGCAAATTGATTTGTTCCTTTTGGCTATAAACATGATCTGATCTGATCCAGATTCAGCAATCTAATAGATATGGTCATTATCTATGATTCTGCGTTTTTAGTTTTCTCAAATCTGCAATATTGTGGATGCAACAGATTTTCGTCCTTTGTGGGGGCGGATGGGGGTGGGGCGAAATTCTGAGATATACGTTTTATAGTGACATCTTAAAGGAGTGTGTGTACCAAATTTGGTTACTCTAGCCTTAATAGTCTCTGAGATTTGTGGTTGCCTCAGATTTTCGTCCTTTGCGGGGGCGGAAGGGGGTGTGGCGAAATTTGGACATGAAACGGTCAAGGTTCGATATCACAGGAGTGTGGATACCAAATTTGGTTGCTCTGGCTTTTATAGGTTCTGAGATCCTTGAACTCATATTTTGCAATTGGCAAAACCGACCATGAAACCTGTGTGTTAGAGTGAGACAGAGCGAGAAAGAGTGAAATTGTTTTCGTTATTCTGGCTGTAATAATTATACGATCTGGTTCAGATTTTGCACTCTAGAAGATATAGTCATCTTCTACGATTTTGCGTTTTTAGTTTTCTCGTATCGTCGAAATTGTGGATGCCACAGATTTTCGCCCTTTGTGGGGGCGGAAGTGGGCGGGGCAAAGTTTTGAAATATTTTTGGAGCAGTGACATATCACAGAAGTCTGGATCCAAAACATCGTTGTTCTAGCTCTTATAGTCTTTGAGCATTAGGCGCTGAAGGGGACGGACAGACGGACAGACGGACGGACGGACAGACAGACAGGGCTCAATCGACTCGGCTATTGATGCTGATCAAGAATATATATACTTTATAGGGTCGGAAACGATTCCTTCTGGACGTTACACACATCCACTTTTACCACAAATCTAATATACCCCAATACTCATTTTGAGTATCGGGTATAAAAAACGAGGGGGAACGTTGTGAGTTGCTGCGGACACCGCAACTCTACAGTTATACCCGATACTAAGTCAGTATGGCTCTCCTCCGGCAGACGCCGCTAATATTAAACGACACGACAAAGAGTGCGTGCGAGAGAGACAGAAAATCAGTCTGAGCGTGACGTCGGGCGCTGCGTAGCCAGTGCAAATTGATTTGTTTCCTTTGGCTATAAAAATGATCTGATCTGATCTAGATTCAGCAATCTGATAGATATGGTCGTTCTCTATGATTCTGCGTTTTTAGTTTTCTCGAATCTGCAATATTGTGGATGCAACAGATTTTCGTCCTTTGTGGGGGCGGAAGGAGGTGGGGCGAAATTTTGAGATAAACTTTTTATGGAGAGATCTAACAGGAGTGCGGATACTAAATTTGGATACTCTAGCCTTAATAGTCTCTGAGATTTGTGAATATCCCCAGACTTGCATCCTTTGCGGGGGCGGAAGGGGGTGTGGCGAAATTTTGAAATAAACTCGTCTCGGTCCGATATATTAGGAGTATGGATACCAAATTTGGTTGCTCTAGCTTTTATAGTCTCTGAGATCTAGACGCTAATGTTTTACTCTAAGCAAAGCCGCCTATGCTACGTGTGTGTTAGAGAGAGACAAAACGAGAAAAAATGAAAAAAAGCAGTGACATATCACAGAAGTCTGGATCCAAAACATCGTTGCTCTAGCTCTTATAGTCTTTGAGCATTAGGCGCTGAAGGGGACGGACAGACGGACAGACGGACGGACGGACAGACGGACAGACAGACATGCCTCAATCGACTCGGCTATTGATGCTGATCAAGAATATATATACTTTATGGGGTCGGAAACGATTCCTTCTGGACGTTACACACATCCACTTTTACCACAAATCTAATATACCCCAATACTCATTTTGAGTATCGGGTATAAAAAACATGTCAGCAACATATCTATTTGACATGTACTAAATGAAACATGGACTAATAGGCACCGTAATCTTGTTTGCGATAGCAGAGCACTTTGGCGGTCAAAGAGGTTACTTTTCACCACACCAGTCCACCGAGACACCACCCCCCCCCCAGACCCATTGAACGCTATGGGCCGCATTACAAATATTTTTGAGTACATTTATGTGTAGATCAAAGTGCAATCAATTAAATTAAACTATTCATGGGTGCCTACTATGCCGTTTTTCTCTGTGTGTATCCTCTGTTTTTAAATTTGTAATTTTCAGGGAACCAGCTTGGCCTTGGAAAACTCGTAACCTTGTGCTCGTACTTTACACCAGAGTATCAGTTCACTCTGCAACAACAGGCAATCAGAATTGTTGAATAAAGCACGCACACAGAATGTCGAATGCCAACCCCAATGACAACAACAACGAGCAGCCCCCAGCCGCCAAGAGGCAGCGATTGTCAGATGTTGCAAGTAAAGATGAAAGTACTTTGAATGAGATTTCGACTACTATGGACAGCAGTGAGGGTGAGGTCGGCGGGTCCTCGGGTGGTGGCGTCTCCGATCTTCGTGAGCTACTGTGCCGCGAGGTTCCACAACCACACGACTTCTATCAGTGCAGCCATGGGCATATCATGTGTGCCATCTTCAATAAAACGCGTGCCTGCTGCCCAAGTTGTCGATCGCTCATTAGAAACTACGATCAGGAGCAGAATCTAGTGGTGCGCCAGACCCTCTGGGAGCTACCCATCAGCTGCCCCAGCTGCAATGACCAGTTCTCAGATAGGAAAGATCTCTCCAGACACTTGGAGTTCGTTTGTGAGGGGCGTGTGGTTTGCTGGAAGTACCACTGCGTGGGCTGTTCTTGGAAGGGCTCCTACAAGGACAGCGTCTCACATGATTCCGACTGTGGGTTTCCCCAGAAGCAGGGAAAGGAGATCCTAGATATTCTGCTGCATGTCGAAGACAGGGAGCTTGAGGCCCAAAAGCCCGTGTTGCAGCTCCATCGGGTGCTGAGTGCTAGCCGGGTGGAATTTTTCACCTTGAGAATGAAGTGGATACACCGCTCAGAGGGTTTTGGAGAACCAGAACTCGTCTGCAGCATACCTCTGATGATCTCTTATCCCGATCCCCACAGACGATTCGTGCCTTTGAGGAGGATTGGGTGCTGCGTCTACGTCTGAAAAGAGCTGGGGAAAAAATCACCGTCAGCGGCCAGCTATTGCTTTCGACTACCCCACGAGTGTCCCTCATGGTTGACCATTTGATCCAGATGCCGCAGAGTGTCTGCAGCGCCAAGCAGCTGCACGACATACGTCCGCGTATCTACCGCCATATTTTCGATTCAACCGGCAAGTGCGCAAAGCGCCAGGAGCTTCCCTTGGCGGGACCTCAGGCCCTGTACCGGCTATTTGCCATGACCCGGATCCAGCTCCGTTTGTGGATGTTTTTGCATTATTGAGCTGACGCTAAAAACCTTTAAATTGTAGTTTAAACCTTTATTGGGCACATCTTTTGATTTGATTTTTAAATTCGTTGCTTTAGAGCTGCATTTTTAGGGTTTGGGCGCCTTCTGGATCTGCTCGTTCACAGCAAGACCTTCTTCAGCAGCAGCGTTGGCCTTATCATGGAAGTCGTGCAGAAGCAATAGAGTAAATTAGGCATACGTTTTTGTCTGGTCTGTTAAGGTCGGCTAGTGTCGGCTAGACTTACCTTAACGCTATCCTCGTTGAAAAATTCCTTGACCTTTGCCAGCAGGTCGTTGAGCTGAGCCTCAACTGGCTTGGTGGGCTCCTCACGAGGCACGCGAGCACACATGCACACCTGAAGGCAGAGTTACAGTAAAACCACAATGAGTCAAAGCAATCTTGGCTATTTTTGGTTTTTAGTTTGTTTCAATGGTCCTGCTCTTTACTGAAGAACGTTGACTTGAGTACTCATAGCGACAGCTCGTTTTGCGTCGCAGCCGAGATGAAACCGAGAGCCGGGCTTATTACCGGCGCCACTATCAAGGTCAAGTGCTTAGAAGCGTACGTCCCGGTCCGCTCAGATAAGAGAGTGGAGTAAAGTAGAGTGCTCAAAGTAGAGTTATAGACTATGTAGCATACTATGTGGGCATGGAGGACATTTTACTACCCATTTAGAGCTCTGGCAAATGGTCGAGATAAGAATTTATATAAAAACGAGGGGGAACGTTGTGAGTTGCTGCGGACACCGCAACTCTACGGTTATACCCGATACTAAGTCAGTATGTCTCCGGCAGACGCCGCTAATATTTAATGACACGACAAAGAGTGCGTGCGAGAGAGACAGAAAATCAGTCTGAGCGTGACGTCGGGCGCTGCGTAGCCACTGCAAATTGATTTGTTCCTTTTGGCTATAAACATGATCTGATCTGATGCAGATTCAGCAATCTAATAGATATGGTCATTATCTATGATTCTGCGTTTTTAGTTTTCTCAAATCTGCAATATTGTGGATGCAACAGATTTTCGTCCTTTGTGGGGGCGGAAGGAGGTGGGGCGAAATTTTGAGATAAACTTTTTATGGAGAGATCTAACAGGAGTGCGGATACTAAATTTGGATACTCTAGCTTTTATAGTCTCTGAGATCTAGACGCTAATGTTTTACTCTAAGCAAAGCCGCCTATGCTACGTGTGTGTTAGAGAGAGACAGGGCGAGAAAAAAGAAAAAATGAAATTGTTTTCTTGATGCTGGCTATAATAATAATACGATCCAATTCAGATTCTGCAGTCTAAAAGATATGGTCATTCTCTACGATTCTGCGTTTTTGGTTTTATCGTATCTTTAAAAATGTGGATGCCACAGATTTTCGTCCTTTGTGGGGGCGGAAATGGGCGGGGCAAAGTTTTGAAATATTTTTGTAGCAGTGACATATCACAGAAGTCTGGATCCAAAACATCGTTGCTCTAGCTCTTATAGTCTTTGAGCATTAGGCGCTGAAGGGGACGGACAGACGGACAGACGGACGGACGGACAGACAGACATGGCTCAATCGACTCGGCTATTGATGCTGATCAAGAATATATATACTTTATGGGGTCGGAAACGATTCCTTCTGGACGTTACACACATCCACTTTCACCACAAATCTAATATACCCCAATACTCATTTTGAGTATCGGGTATAAAAATCGCGTACGAGTAGGAAAAGGATACTAGGAAACGGGATACAGAGGGTCAAAGGGACAGTTCAGCATGGATACGTAAACGAAGAAGATCACCGGTCAGATCTTTGTCGGCTGCGGTATCGCTCATTGGCGAGAACGCCCACCCTACCATGATCCTTCAGGGCCACCTATTAACAGTCAGGATCCCTTCAAATAAGCCTGCTATTCAATATTGTCTTACATTTATAGGGTATTCCTATACAGCATATACTGGGGAAGGAATATCATAAGGGCGAGGTAGGGTATAATGATCTTAAATCTATAAAACTGATTAGTAGTAGGTATATATAAATGCACGAGCATGTATAGAACCGTGATTATGGTTGAAGACCAACGAATAGTTACCGCACATTCATTCTTTTCAGATGGGGGTTAAATCGGTGGTACTGGCACGTGTCCGGGAATAACCAATCCGTAACTTCTAGACCAGCGTTGTAATACGTAGATACTAGTGGTGCTAATCCTACGCGGAAAAAACAGGAATTTTTCAACGGGTCTCTGTAGCTGGGTGGATAATTACCTCAACAGAATTACACCACTGATCGAAAAATTTTACTGAACTGTGGGCGTTCGTTTTCCAAATGGTCGAACGGCTGCCCCAGTATTGACGATATATAACTGGCGCGTCCACTCAAATTAAATGATCACTTTGAGCCGCACTTGGCACTTGCACTAGGCTTTGACTTTGGCTTGACCTTGGTTTAGAGAACTGGGTCAGCTCTACAAGAATTCTTTTTCCACGGCCGGTCACTCTGACGGTCACGAGGAGAGAAATAAAGAGGCCCAGCCTACTAAAAACAGCAACCCACGTTTTCCCACACTTTCTATGGTCTTCTTCTGTTATACAGGATCCAGACACAGCAATATTTAATAAAATATAGTGCACGGCAGAAAAATTGCATATCAAAGCGTTGCCGCTTGGTCGCAAAACAGCTGTTGATAAGCTTTATCAAAGCTCACAAGATCTTCAACTCGAATTTTGTTACGGCCTAGTTTTAGGCTGTAATTTTGGGAGTTAGCCGTGGATAATTAAAATACAAGAAGACACGATAAGCGTCGAATATTACACCCCCCGCTGAAATCACAGTTTGGGGTCTTGCTAACCAAAGCGTGATCCACACTTGGAGTGCTGGATACGATTTATTGTTTAATATCATTTGCGTGATATTTACCAATAAAGCGACCCTGGAAATCTTTTCTTAATGCGGGCTTTCCGAAACGTAGGTGCCAGTTTCACATTAATGCCTTTCACAAAACTACTCTGGTAAAAATTTCGTCTATACACTTCTTGACCCACTTGAAAGTTTACTTCTCGGCTTCGAAGATTATAGATATTTTCATTGCGAACATGCTGCTGTTTCATTGCTTCTGCAGCGGTCTTGCGAATTAGCTCGAAGGAATCGTCGCGATCAAAGACTACTGTTCGGTTCTCCAACATACTGAGGTTTCGTAGGAGTTGATTAGTGGAACCGCCAGTAATCATGTTTTGGCCAAAAGCAACAGGATATGGGCTACTTTTGATGGCTGCATGCACACTATATTGATCGGGCTTAATGTACGCTTTGATAGCAGCGAGTACCGACCGATTTACCCGCTCTGAGGCATTGGTTTGGGGAGCGTAGGCGGCGGTGTACGAATGTCGAATGTAGAAATGTAGAAAATCGACGTAAAGTTTTTGAAATAGACGAAAGGTCTCCCCTGCTTTGCCCATTGGCGGACGTAGAGGATGATTGGGGTGCTCGGTCGTTCCTATTCGAGGAAGTCGGTCAGCTGTACTCTTCGTCGCCCAAAAAAAGCATAACATCTAATTCGTTAATTTCCTTCCTGTTTTGCTACTCAAAATTCGCTTCAGCAGCGATCAAATACAAAACGAGGGGGAACGTTGTGAGTTGCTGCGGACATCGCAACTCTAGAGTTATACCCGATACTAAGTCAGTATGGCTCTCCTCCGGCAGACGCCGCTAATATTTAACGACACGACAAAGAGTGCGTGCGAGAGAGACAGAAAATCAGTCTGAGCGTGACGTCGGGCGCTGCGTAGCCACTGCAAATTGATTTGTTCCTTTTGGCTATAAACATGATCTGATCTGATGCAGATTCAGCAATCTGATAGATATGGTCGTTATCTATGATTCTGCGTTTTTAGTTTTCTCAAATCTGCAATATTGTGGATGCAACAGATTTTCGTCCTTTGTGTGGGCGGAAGGGGGTGGGGCGAAATTCTGAGATATACGTTTTATAGTGACATCTTAAAGGAGTGTGTGTACCAAATTTGGTTACTCTAGCCTTAATAGTCTCTGAGATTTGTGGTTGCCTCAGATTTTCGTCCTTTGCGGGGGCGGAAGGGGGTGTGGCGAAATTTGGACATGAAACGGTCAAGGTTCGATATCACAGGAGTGTGGATACCAAATTTGGTTGCTCTGGCTTTTATAGGTTCTGAGATCCTTGAACTCATATTTTGCAATTGGCAAAACCGACCATGAAACCTGTGTGTTAGAGTGAGACAGAGCGAGAAAGAGTGAAATTGTTTTCGTTATTCTGGCTGTAATAATTATACGATCTGGTTCAGATTTTGCACTCTAGAAGATATAGTCATCTTCTACGATTTTGCGTTTTTAGTTTTCTCGTATCGTCGAAATTGTGGATGCCACAGATTTTCGCCCTTTGTGGGGGCGGAAGTGGGCGGGGCAAAGTTTTGAAATATTTTTGGAGCAGTGACATATCACAGAAGTCTGGATCCAAAACATCGTTGTTCTAGCTCTTATAGTCTTTGAGCATTAGGCGCTGAAGGGGACGGACAGACGGACAGACAGACATGGCTCAATCGACTCGGCTATTGATGCTGATCAAGAATATATATACTTTATGGGGTCGGAAACGATTCCTTCTGGACGTTACACACATACACTTTTACCACAAATCTAATATACCCCAATACTCATTTTGAGTATCGGGTATAACGAGGGGGAACGTTGTGAGGTGCTGCGGACACCGCAACTCTACAGTTATACCCAATACTAAGTCAGTATGGCTCTCCTCCGGCAGACGCCGCTAATATTAAACAACACGACAAAGAGTGCGTGCGAGAGAGACAGAAAATCAGTCTGAGCGTGACGTAGGGCGCTGCGTAGCCAGTGCTAATTGATTTGTTTCCTTTGGCTATAAAAATGATCTGATCTGATCCAGATTCAGCAATCTGATAGATATGGTCATTCTCTACGATTCTGCGTTTTTGGTTTTATCGTATCGTCGAAATTGTGGATGCCACAGATTTTCGCCCTTTGTGCGGGCGGAAGTGGGCGGGCCAAAGTTTTGAAATA